TTCTTAAAGAGTGTCTAATCAGGACTTATCTGGTTGAAATAGAATGGACATATAAATATGAATGACATTGTCATAAATAAAGGCTTCATCATGCTGACAATGCTCCACAGGTCTGTGTTTGTGGCAGCTTTAGTTTTTGCTGCATTGGTAGTAGCAAAATTTAACAGTGCTCTCTTACCATGAACACAGGCAATAAAGATCTATGTTCATGTTTAAAGAGATATATCAAAGTCAAATTCATTTTGCACATATCTTAACAAAAAATGGAGTCTGAAAGACTACTGACATATCTTTGTAGTGCCCTGGAGAAAACAAGTATGAAGAAAGTCTCTCTTTCTGCTATCTGTGCAAATACATTGCATTGGCATGAGTTTTCATTTCTGCCAAGATAAGTTGGCCCAGATGGCTATACTGTAAAGGAAGAGCAAGCTGAAATGTGCCCTTCACAACATGCATAAAGTAACCCTTCTGTGTTTGACAAGCTGCCAAATACTACTAAAACAAGTTAGCTGCCTATATTCATTTTTAAGATTCATGTAGCAACTCACTTGTTTGTAAATCCAAGCCACTTTATCTATGCTGACCTTGAGTGGCTAGTTTTGTCTAAGGGTAAGGTTAGGCATAGCATTGAATATCTCAGCTTGCTGAGCTTTCTTCTCTGAAGACTCATTAGTATAGCAAGCCATAAAGTCAATGTCAATAGTTGGATGCCTTTTAGCCACAAACACATTTGGTTTAGACCACAGGTCAAAAAGAACAGCAGACTTCTGACTAGCCTTGATGATAGCTTCTTCAAAACTAGTTAGCTCTTCTGGTGCTGATTCACTGTTACAAGCTCAAGCCATCTTCATAGAGACTTTGAAGGAAAGGTTCTTGGCATATAGCTCTCAAACTTTTTGTGAAAGCTGATCAATGTGCAGCTGTGACTGCGATAATGCCTGCTAGCATTTAGCTTTTGGCATGGTTTAAAAATTAGATTTTACACTCACGTTTCACAAGTCATTAGCAGTAGCCAAAGATAACAGTTCATCTATAGGATTTTGCAGCTGTGCACAGATTTGAGAATTACATATCTGCTGATTGCCACTTTGATCTAAGCCTGGCTCAGATCCAGATGCAGCATTCTTATCTGTGACCTTACCACTGTCACTTCCCATCTCAGAGCTAGAGCTTGGGTTGTTGTGAGACATGGCAGTAGAAACTTGGAAGATGCAAAGAGTACAAGTTCTAAGAATGTGAAAGACAGAGGAAGCCTGGTTAAAAGGCAGAATACCTGCAGCAATTTATATACAGAAACTCGCACAAATCAAATACATGGAAGCATATAAAATTAAAGACCAGTGCAAACAGCATATCACAGTAACTGCACAAAACAATGACATCTTGTAACATGCTGAAGCAGTACAACTCTCAATGCTCAAAGCCAGCCAAGCATATAACATACTTCAATCTAGCATGTTTTTCATTGCACAAAAGCACATTTCACATTGCAGCTCAAACACAGCAAGTGAGCATTGCCTTTACAATGAAGCATTAAGCACTATTGGAAGATAGCAATATATACAGTATTAAGTTTACAAGAATGAAGCTGGCTACTGGATGAGCTTACCAAGAAAGCTTAGCCTTTTGCCTATCCTCTTTCAACTTATTAACTTTGGATATGAGCTCAAGCTCTTCAGCCCATTGTGTCTTGCACTACACAAGCAGCTCATCTGCCTAATTGTGGTTTTTGTTATATAGCACACATTATGTATGGAAGCCATACTCCACAAATCTAAATATGTCTTCTGAGGCATATTAAGTAAATACTCAATATGCCTCATTTTTGCTGATGGCAGTATCGCCATATATGATACAGGTGAAAGAAATGAAAATGATGGAACCTGGCAGAAATTCCACAACAATACCAAATTTCTGCAAGATAAAATGCCCATCACACTGTAAATCAAACATTCCATTGCAAAAAATCGAGCACCAGCCAGCTGCATAATTGCCAAAGTTATTGTATTTGTAACTCATCACATTGAAGTCAAAATCAAAGGATATCATAGAAAATATGCTGTTATCTCAGATGTAGTATAGCTTTGAATAGTAAGTGAATAGACAGTTAAGCTTCTCCACATAATTACAGTATATTTTTGGTGCATAAATGACAAACACACCTGTGAAACTAGCATTAAAAGTACACAGTTGCCAATATTCATAGAAAAAGCTTACTGCTAGCAAAGCCAGTGATGAACTAGACAGTTGGGTTAACCAAAAGCTTCTCGTATATTGCTTAATTATGCATAGAGTGCCACAGAGTTTTAAAGCACTAGATGCCAGACTTAGCA